GCGCCACCAAAAAAGAATTAAAAGGTTAAACTAGTATTTCAATGGGGACTTATAAATATAGAACTATCTAAACTTATGCAATTTGTAATCAGCGCGTTTGTTAGATTTGGCGTGTTGTTAATTGGACGTGTTTGTAAAATTTGGCACCTTTTGCGCATATATTTTCGCTGCAGTTCTTCTACGGTCCCCAAAACTGAATTTTACCAAATTTTCTTTGTGACTTGAATCTAAAAAAGTTTTTAACAATTTATGTAAGTATCAGTAATTATACTTTTAGAAGCAAATGTCCATATAATAATATGAATACATTTTATAGCAGAATTATAATAATTTAAACTCAAACTGTATCAACAGATAACAGTTCAAAAGGTTTATTTACACGTGGTAGTGCTTGCTTTAAACCAAAATTCCTTACTTTTCTTATTAAAGTGACATACTTCACAATGTTTAAAATAATTTCTAATATATTGTACTATACCTACCCAATAAAATTGAGGAGATAGCAAATTTAGCATTGAAGATGCACTAGTGTGACCAAATTTCTTTAACATTTTCAGGAAGTTGTAATTATTTTATAATCTCAGTATTTACTTTATTGGGTTGATATTTTCCTGCTCGAACTTCATAACCTTGAAAATTCATTTTTTAATAAAGTGGCACTTTGAATGTTTTAGTTTTATATTTTCTTTTTCACATACATCAAATATTATTTTAAGATATTTTAAATGTTTTTCAAAATTTTTAAAAAATACTATGATCTCATCAAAATATTTAGAGCAAATTGAATTTGATACTTTGAACAAAATATGGTATTGCTATGGTAAACCTTGTGTTAAAGACTCGATAAGAATTTTATCACTTAAATGTAATGCAGAACTTAATATTAATTTCTGGGGAACATACTTACCAATATCTTTCAGTTTGTTGTATGTAGTTGAAACAAAGTCATCAAATGTAATGCGTTCTGAACTTGAAAAAATTAAGTGAAGAAAAAAATGTTTAATACATTCCAGTTATTGATTTCAACATTTTGGTGATTATAAAATGACAGGGCAATGCCTTTTAAAAAATCTGGAAATAAAGTTAACTTTTCTGTATTAGAAATGCCATTTGCACACATGGTTTTTCAAAAAAATGAAATTCTTATCCATGGGAAGATCCATTGTCGGATCAAATACTGGACAGGTAAATATGAGATTTTTTATGGGATATAGTATTGCTGTAGTAATTTCTTGCTTATTACAAAATCTTTCTAACAATGCATCAGCTCCCATTAAAAATGCTTTCTTGATTAATTCACTGTCTGAGAAAGGTTTTTTTTTTTTTTTTTTACTTTTTGCCAACAAATGAGAAATTTTGAAGGAAGTGATTGTGGCATGTTTATTTGCATTATTAGTAAAAACTGCTTGCTGTCAAATAGCCTTGATTTAAGTTGATTAATTTTCCTTTTTCTCAAATCTGTTTAAGGCAGATAATCGATGTTGATAGTATTGTGATTAGTCTTGAAATGGCATTCAAGGTTATGTTTCTTCAAAACTGATACAACACTACTGCAAATCAGACAAACACACTTGTTCTTTGTGTGGATAAATCCGTAGTCTTCTTTCCAATCACTGTTTAATTGATAAATTCATTGCCTTTTGCTTGAGGAACTCATTTTAGGGTGAGAAACCTAAAATAAAAATTAAACGGTTTTAAAAGTTAAATTGCTGAGAAAATTCTTAATGTGCAATGGATTTAATGTGAGGGTCTTCAATGACAATAACAACTGATAAGACAAAACAGTGTTGCCAGTGCAATCATTTTATGGCTTATATTTTATTTCTAAAAGTATGATGAATCTCGCTGCCACAAAAAAAAAATCCTGGCGGGCTTCAGGTTGGCCACTGTTGATATTGATATAGTATATAGCGAACAGTCACTGGCACACAAAAATAGCTTCATGGGCATGGAATTAAGAACCTCTGCAATAGACAATACAGTGAAGTACTGAGACGTGCTAGCAAGCAAGAGAAGTACAAAAAGTGATTGTGCATTTCAGCAAAGGACTATTTATAAGATTTGAGTCCTTTGTTTAAACTTTGGACTGCTACTGGACAAGGGCTTTATGGCATTGCGAATGACATACTGCAGGTTAGTTTTTCTCAGTGATGTACACTGCCCTCCAAAAGTTAAGGAACAACATGATTTGGGTGTCTAATTTGAGAATGAAGCAACATAGAAACAATAAATTTAGTGGATGTGTTCAATAAACAGTTCTTTAGTGAATGTGACATAGAATGCTTCTTAAGATTAATACAAACATGAATCACAAAGAAAAATTGCACTCTTGGCACAGAAATCCAGTCTTGGAGAAACAGTATACAGTTTTTTTTAGGAAAATATGGTCGTAACATTACAAAAATGGGTTCTAATAAGGAATGTGTTCACCCCTAGCTGCAATACATTGGCAGCAGCGACTTCCTTTGCTGTTAATTAAGCTGTCAGTCAGTGAAATGGGAAGCAACAACCAGACGTGGAGTAATCCTTGTTCAAGCTCATCTAACACCTTCAAGGAGGATTTAAAGCAGCAATCTGTCTCCCAAGGTAGTCACAAAGATATGCTTATTGGATTCAGGTCTGGGAATTGAGCTGGCCATTTCACCGGCTCCATACCGTGACCCTCAAGATATTCTTCATCAACCTGAGCTCGATGCGTCCGCACATTGTTGTCCATCAGAAGAAATCCAGGACCAATAGCAGCGGAATATGGGCAGATATATTGATCAAGAATTTCGTATCGATATCTCACACTGGTCAAAGTTCCTTCATGGAATACATACAGGTCAGTGTTACCACCAAGAGAGCTTCCAGCTCAAACCAGTATTCCACCACCTCTAAAACTATGTCATTTCACAATGTGGGATTGGTTGTATCTGATGTGTTGTTCCCTCCAGATGAGCTTACGACCTGAATTACTCTTCCATGTGAACTTGTACTCTTCTGTAAAGAGAACAGAAACCCATTGTTGAGTGGTCCAGGAGACGTGTTTCCCTGGCCAACATAAACTGGCAGCTCTCTGTCCTCGGGGTAAGGGGATGCAAATGACTGGTTATTTAACATACAGGCCTGTATTGTGCAGGTGTCTGCATACTGAGATTCTTGTTTCTATGAGCACTAAATGATCTGCAATGAGCTCAGGCACAGTAATGTCGCTCCTCCTTCAGGCCAAAAGAGCAAAATAACAATCTCCCCCCAGGTATTGTAGTCTTGGTCTCCCTGGAGCATGTCTTAGACACAGAATCCTCAGATTCAAACTGATTCCATAGTCACTGGACTACACTGTGAGAGACATTGAGGCATCTAAGAGCACCAGCTTATAACATCCCCATTTCAATCCATCCGATCGCCCACTACCTCAATAAATCGGGCAAACAACTTCTTCTGGATATTGTCAACAAAATTGCTAATAACAATTAAATATCAACACTCATGAACAAAACTTAAAATTTTTGCATTTTTTCTCCAACTCTTAGATAAGTATTCATTTCTATAAAATAAAAGTGCTGGCTATTCTTTTTGCATATATTTTCTTAAACTTTGTCATGCATATAAATTGTGAATTTAAATGTTACTGACATTTTTTTAATGATGAACTTTGAAAAACATGCCATTCCTAAACTTTTGGAGGGCAGTGTTGTTTAGATTCCAGGAAAGGAGCATAGCCAAATTAAAGTTAGTAATTTTGAGTTTCACATATTTATATATTACATTACATGTATATATATTAAATTAGTAATGATATTTTTAATTTATGAAGTATTATAATTTATGAATAATAATTTAAATTAAATTATAGGGAACATTTTAACATTATGTAGTTCTAACAACGTTAGCAAATTGTTCAGAGTATAATTCTATTTCATCTTGTTTAAAACTTATTTAACAATTTAACAGTTTTACTATTAGTGCACAGTGACATAATTTTTTGCTCCTGTTTCTAATTATGTCTAGATGCTCAGTTTTCATGTGAACATCATAAAATTATTTAAATTGCATTATGCATGTACGGAGTAAATGCACTGAGATATGAAAGAACATTGGGTAATGTCTATCTGATACATTCTGAAATGGAGACAAATACCATATAGCTCTATATATAATTGACAAAGTATCTATTCTGAAGTATTATTTTCATTTGCAATACAATGATGCTACTGATGACATCCAGAGCAATATCATAGCAGTTTTACATCAGAGCAATATCACTCTCATTATATTAATTTTGGAATATTTTATATTAAAATCAACTTTAATAATATGTGATGTATGTGATAGGTGGAGAGTTTCTAGGAGATGCTGATTGATCAGCTAGGAAGTCATATATTATGCTAATTGTTTATCCTTAATTATGAATTAAAGAATGGTATTTTAATTAGCTATGGCTTGTATGAGGTACACTCATCACAGTGTTATATGCTTAAATACAGTATTGCTGTTTATTGCCTTGTATGCATTGCTGTGTATCAACCCTATAGCTTTCATTGTTGTGATGTGCATTTGTTCTGCTTTTAAGTTGTCAGCAATAGGAAAGAAGTTTCCTTTACCTCTTATGAATCCAAGTAGCACTAAAGTTTTCTTCTGCAAGGTCAGTATAAATGAATATATATTTTTTTTTTTACCATTTTCCTCTTACATATTAAATTTTATAAGCTTGGAACTGTCATGATACATTAAGATATTTATCAGTCTATATTTTATTTAGATTTTACTTAGGTAACTGAAATCTTATATCATAAATTATAAGTAATAATGTAACTCATATAAGAATACAAATATGTAGAAAATAATGTGCAAAATTTTAGATGAAAAAATTAAAAATATTGCAGAAAAATTAACCATAAATAAAAAAATTTCATAAAAGATATTTCTGAAATATTTTTTTCAGTATAATTTCATCATAATTTCAATCAGTAGGATTTCATAAGTACTCAATGTATCTTTAAATCTGCTTTTTACAGGTATATGTAGGGCCACTCGGTTATCCTGTATGGGTTATTGATAGTAAACATAATGTTTATGTCCGTGAAGGTGTGGAGAACAACTTGCCCATTGGAAAAAAGTGGATACTAGTCCCTGAACTTCCCGCACAAGAATTATGCATTAGTAAACATGCCGTATGGCTTTTATGTTCATCTGGGAAAATATATAGAAGATTTGGAATTTCAGAAAAAAATCCATGTGGAGATTATTGGAAACAAATACCTGGCAATATGAATTATATATCTGGTAAGGTGCAAGATAATTTATAAAATTCTTTTATTAATTGTCCTTTTGTGAATAGTGTGTATGTTTGGAAGTATTATTATTTATTTTTTGACACTTTTTACTATCTGTCTGTAAATTATTCTTGTTTTAAAATGTGCAGTGGTGCCTTATATAACAAATGTGTGCAGAGACAGAAAAATGTCTTGCATTATGAATCATGCACAAATTTTATAACATTAAACCTGAAGCTAAATATGTTTTATTTTCTTTTCTAATGACACATTAATGCAAAAAAAAAAAAAAAAAAAATGGTTTGCCCAAAAACAATGATATATATGTCTTGTATCATGAATTATAAGTAATAATGTAAAGGATAGGACAGGCCAACGTACTTTTTAATATTTTATTATCACTGAAGAACTGCAAGCATTTCTTGACCAGGAACCTAAGGAAGCCCAGAAAGAAGTTTCTGTGAGTAAGGAAGAGAAGAACAGAAAGAATCCATCCTTGTTGCAACTATCATCAGGGCTTGATTTTTCAGTGGTAGAAAAATACATTTCTTTCTTTATTTATTTTTATTTATTTATTTATTTTTGCCATATACAGTTTTGTCTTCTTTGGCAGCATATGACAAAGATAAATGCATAAGTGGGCTCAGACCTAATATCGACATGACAAAAGGCGAGACCTAAGGGCGAGAATAAAGCAATGCCACAGATATACTGCTCTCAAGAGAATCAGTTAGCAAACATGACTTCAGCAGGTGAAACACGCTCTGATTCTACCCTGTAAAACCTTGCTTTAAATACTATCTCTTTCTACCTCATTTCAATACATGCAAACTAGAAATTTTCATTCTGGGAGGAAAATGGAAAGAGAGAAAGATAGCAAAGGTAATTAACATAAAATAACTAATTAGATGTTTAAAAGTTACTTATTTCTTGTTGCTATTTGGAAGCAAGATGTTTTCAGTGATAACTCATCTCTCACTATTACCACTTGTACTCTACTCTCTCTCCACTGCTAGAGTACTTACTACTCTCTAACTAATACCACTTCCCATACTATACAAAACATTTTGTGAATTGAGTGATTTGCATAAAAAAATGCTATTGCAATATAGATTAGGTTTGTTATGCAAGGTACCTCTGTACTTTAATTATAAAGTACTTTGTTATGTAAATTAAAATTTTTATAAAAATTGCTTAATTTATAATTAAATTGTAAATCTATACAGTATGTTGGCAAGGTAATTGTATTATAAATTTGTACTATATGTTTTAGGATCATTAAAAATCATAATACACTGGCTTCTTTGTATTAATAGATGAAAGAAAACAAGCATTGTGTACGAAGATGAAAATAGTATTTAACTTTTGTAAATCAAGTGATGAAACATGATGACATAAACATGTTTGTAGTCTTTCTCTTTTCTATGCTTATAATTTCAGCTCAGATGACCTTCACATCTTTAAAAAATCTGATGTGTACACCACATGACTTCCTTGTAGGGAATATTAAATTATACGCATTTTTTCTTGCATTTTATTTAAACTTATTAGATTGAATAAACTACTTCGCCAGCGCATAAACCACAATAGAATAATGCATTCTTTAAAATTCACTTTTGTTTACCATAGCGACACTCTGCGCTGGTTACTAACAGTATTATATTTCATCATATTATAACTCAGAATGCACAAAATTTATAATTTAAAGAATTAGTAATCGTTGCCACATGTTCTATTCGAATACTATTTAAAATAAAGCTAGAACTATGTTTAAAAAAATTAAGCAAAAAAAACAGGAACAGTTTTCACAGACGTTGAGTATTTCTCATTCAATTAATTCAGTTCTCACTTCGCGAGAAGGCAAAAAAAAACCAAAATATCTATATTAAAAATTACGAAGTAAATCTCAACTCTTATTTCCTCGAAAAATTCCAGAAGATTAAAACATGATTTAATTGGCAATAATAATGAAGCGTATCTTTGTGTTGCGAAGCTAAGTTTCTCTAGATTGGCAAATTCATTGTCTCCTTTTAAATGTAAACATCATGGCCGCCATTAAAAACAGGCTTGCGGCAATTAAACCACTTTAAATTGTGATAATTCTAAAAATATTGCACATAGATTACTAAGGCATTAAATCCTTAACCGGAAGATAAAAACAACATAATTCATCATTTTTAAAGCAAAAAATGTACACTTTACAACATATAGAGTAAAGAAAAGACACTGAGACGGGTAATATTGTATATATAATAAATATATTTATAATTTGGTGATGCCGATTGCAACCAAATACAAGGTGCACATCAGTTATAGCAGTCCTATATACAAAAGAGAGAACCACGAAAATATCTTCAGAATTAATTTTAAAGCAGTTTTATAATTTTTTGAAGAAAAGAGCATTTATTTTTCCTTACTACAGAATGAATCAAAAACATCGTTAATTGCATTCGAGAGGGTCAAAATGGATATTTCGTGAAATATGCTGCCTGAAACTTTTCACGATCACAATACTTCCTTTTTACTTCATACAAGGAAGTAAAAAAAGGAGAGAAGAAGATAATATATGTATAGTTGAAAAAATTATATAAATTTCAAAAATTATATAAATAGTTTCAAAAATTAAAAATTAAAAGATTGTAAAATTTGTACTCAAGTTGCCTCTTATTTGTCTAAAGAGTGATTTAAAAATTTTTCTTCAAACTCATAGAACCACAGATTATATTACATAGTTTATAGATGGGCTAGCTCCATATAAATAATAGGAAAAGGATAAATATGTCAAAAAAATGTTCAATGTTGTGCACTTTAATATGTGCTATTTTATTGCTATATCAGTGTTAAGTCAGTCCCCCTATTTCCAAAATTATTAAATGATGGTTTGTGGCCTGAGTGCCATACATTTAAAATTCATTCTCCTGATTATAATGCTAAAAACTAAAAAATGGAAATCATTTAAAAATCAAAGCAACACCAGATTTCTAAATAACGACCGAAAATCAAATTACAAGCTATAATCTATGGAATACTTGAAAATTGAGTTTGTGATGACATCACAAATCATGTGATCTTTGACATCACATGCTACTTTTTGTGTCTTTTCATTTCATCCTTTGTTGTTTTAGCTAAAAAATTTTATGCAACAGTGGTGACTATCCTAAACCCTCTCACAAACTTTGGAGCAATTGCCCATGCTTTCAATGAGATGATTAACAATGGCAGATGCTAGCTCTGGCCATTCCTCCATTAGCGCAGTTTCCAACTGTCTGAGACTGGCTGCAGGAAATAAACATGCAGAGGCAGCATGCCGAAGGGCATCCTACAGATTTTCAATGGAATTTAAGTCTGGGAGATATGGCAGTGTATGAGAAATGTTCTCACTCTGTAAGTACTCTTCAACATTATTGGCTCAGTACTTGTTAACAATGGTGACAGCATATAAGGAGGAGATCAGGTCCAATTGGGTAGAGCCTCTCACTGGGGTATAGGACTTGATCACGATATCATATAAACATCTCAAAACCATCTTTCAAGATGTGCAGCTGGTTGCAGTATCCCATTGAAATTCCAATCCACACCAGGATGCTCAGCCTCAAAATGCATGATGTTCAATAATGTTGTGGGACTGTTTTTGTGTGCCTCATTCTGTGTGGCTACTGTAATAATATATTTACTTTCAGAAATGGTGTTAGCTCTTGATCAAATGGCCACAGGTCTCCAGACTATTTTTGTCTTATTTAGAATTGTTTTTACATTCAAAATATTACCTAATGATCAACAGCAAAGGAAAGAGTGACGTCTTTGATTGACTGTCCTTCTGCAATGCATCTGACAGCACGCCAACACTCATTTCACTCTCTCAGCCGTAGAAACACAAATATAATGAAAAATTATCGTATGAAAGTTATAAACACTTTGTATCAGTCTTTAAATGAATCTCCTCAAATCCTTCAGAATGCTGGCACTTTCAGTGACTTTCTAATTAGCCTGTGTTCAGACAGTCAATTGTGATTGGATGTAACATATGATATTTACATACCATCATCTGTATTCACAGTGATTTTCACACATTCAAATTCAACTACATTTTTTAAAAATGCTAATTTAAATTGCATGCTTAACTTTTGGAAGCCAGTGTATCTTTTGTTAGTGTTTCAGTAAGCATATTTGTGCCTACTTTTGAGATAACAAGATATGTTGGTATATTAATGAAAATTTTATGGAAGGTATACAAAGGTGATTGGAAAATATAGCATCATGTTAAATCTTACCTGTCTATGGTAACTCCCAAAAAATTTTCAATTGTTTTTTTTTTTTTTTTTATTTCAATGATTTTAGAAATTTATTATAGTGTACTTAATAATCTGTATAAGTATCTAATAAATTACAATGTATACAGAAAATCTTGTAGTTTCTATGATATGGTTTACTGTCAAGAAGACTTTTAAGTATTTCATACTGATTCCATAGATGAAAATATATTTTATGAGCTTCATTTTGCTGATTTCTTTTTACTGTGATTACGTTTACCCTTAATGTAATAAATTTCCTTTGTTAGTAGTATTTTTATTATTAACATGAGTATATGAAGTAAAAAGTATATCTAATCCTTCAAATAGAGGAAAAAATTATGTAACTTTCTATAAACTCTTGATAAATTTCAACATAATTATCCTTGATACATCAAATTGTGCAGTTACATTACACCATATATCCTTATTACATTTATCATTATTACAAGTAAGGCCCACCAGTGGCTGAGCTGTAAAGCGCTGAACACTGTAGTTCGTCCGAGTTTGATCCCTTGAATAGGCTGGTGCTGGGCGTTTTCGTGGTTTTCCTCATGTGTAACGTGTATACGAGCCAGTTTCCCTTAGAAAGTCCTCCACAAAGGCATCCCTCCCCTTAGGCAGATAGCCTCATGTGCTTTGCCATAATTAAATACACCACCACCATTATTACAAGTAACTGATTTAAAAAGTACATCTGTAATGAAGAGAAGACCATGTATAGCTTAAGGGAAGGTAGCTAGCTGTACGAGGTGTCTCAAAAGGTCATTGCTCAACTTAGCATGCTGGTCTGTCATACCATGGCAAACAAGATTTCCATAGGAACACATGTCCTGAAATGCAAACAGTAACCACAAGAGGGAAATGTTTGCAGGCTTATGGGAGAGTGGAAAGCGTGATGATTTCAGATGAGTATGTTGCAGAAGAAGGATGAATTAGTTTAATAACTCAGAATTGGCCGATATGGGTGTCGCAGATGGAAATTGACGAGCGGCAGTACCGGTGTACTTTGATTGCTTCCGAAACAGATGTCAGCCAAGTTATGCTTTCTTTGGCCAATTGCATTGCAGATTGCATGAGGCAGTAACTTTTCAAGTAGATAACTACATCACTCAAGAATGCACTGCACACACACCTGTCTTAGAGGAAGCTGTGCTATAGGAATTTGGGCGAACCCACAAACGAATATGTTTTGCATGTACATTGCTCCACTGTTACGCACGTACTACATGGGGTCATGCTATACCCTATATCCAACAGTACTGGCATTGTGCGATGATGATTATCCCCAATGCATTGCATTTGCACAAATGGATCACACAGTCAGATTTTCCATTGTAGATTTTGTTTTCCGATGAAGCCTCTTTTACATGGGACAGTGTCCTGAACCTGCTCAACTTGCATCTGTGGGCACATGAAAACTCATGTACACATGTGCATGAAAGTCATCATAAATTTTTGGCCTGGTATTATCGGTGACATGTTAATT